TGGAGCCAGCATTGGCGTCTGGCGCTGACGTTGGCGCCTAGCGCCAATCTCGTTTTGCGTGCGCCATACTCTGTTTTGTTTAATTTATCTTTTTGGCTGATTTTCTCTATAAATAACGTATTAAAAACTCCGTTTTCATTCACCAATTCTCATCAACAATCAGTTTTAATTAATATTCACCTACAATCAGTTTTCATTCACAATCATCAATCCTTATTCTTCTCTAATCATTCATCTCTCTTTTTCAAAACTTGATTTTCACATACAAAATTCCACATTCACAAGATCTAGAAACACCTAGCCATATTCGAAGTTGCCTTCGTCCTAGACGTGAAAGGTTTAATTTCTGAGGGTTTTATCCCAAATCTCTCTTTCAATTATTTAATTTAATTGTTGGATTTTATTATTTTCTTTGAAGTTACTAACGTGTGTATTTTGTTATTAGAAAGAGGTACGAGGCATCACTTTAATTGTTTTCATTGTTATTATGATATAGAAATCATGTCTAGGTTGTTATTATGATTCCTAGTGTCATGTTAGGGCGTTTTGATCTTCCTAGTATCATGTTTAGGGTAACTTTAATATCAAATATGACAATTGTGATTCCTGCGATGCTTCCTATTTTCTTTCCTAATATTCATGTTAGTATCATGTTTGGGTTAAAGCTTTGATTTTTATTGCTTAGTGACATGCTAGGTTTTGTTATTAATCTTATTAGTATCATGCCTAGGATCTTGCTATTGCTATTATGCTTTAACATGATTATGATTATTATTTTTATGATTATTTTTATTACTATTTATTATTATGTTGTTATATTTATTCTTGATGCTTGATCACACCTTTTTATGCATGTTTAAAGGGAATTGGTACTTGTACTCACGCTTAATAAGATATTTAATAATCTTGTTAGGGTTAATTTGGTTATAATTCAAGTGATCACCAATAATAGTTTATTTGTGCATTTATATTCAATCAACATAGATAAACAGGTTTAGGGTAACCTATTGATTGCATGTTAGTTAAAAAGCGCACATGAATACGATCAGAATAAAGTAGAGGCCTATTATTAGGGCAGGTTCAATATCTTTTAGGTTGGATTTGTTCCTTGATCCCCGAACCCTTATTTGGTTCAAGACCTTATGGAGTTGACGATCTCTTGGATCGTTAAGGGGTGTAACCTTCACCCTGTGAACGGTTTACAAGTTCCTAAAACTTGTTGGCGACTCTTTTGCTCTATCTTCTTCCCTTTTGGACGCCACTGTACTTTAGTGTATGATCACAGTGGGGTTCAAGCTAGGGGTTTAACGCTTGAAATTTATTCCCTACACATTCCATATCAACACTTTCTGTAATCATGTCATTAACAACTAAATCTTAATGGAAATCACATTCCATAGAAACATCCTCTGGTAGAAGATTACAATTTTTATCACCACTAGATGAACTAAGTGCTAATACTGGCTCCGAAATAACAGTTGAATCTAACACACTACACTGAAGATCAGTAACCGGAGCAGCCACATCCGCAACACATCAATCCCTTATGACTTGACAACCAACAACACAATCATTGGGAACTTTGACAGTCGACTCAACTTGGGTAATAGACTGGACCATCATACCATGGCCTTTTGCTTCTAATTGACCAAAGACACATCTTGTAGCAAACCCTCAAGACAATGTAATTTTGTTAACTCCTCTAAATTATTAGGATCACCTTAAGTATCCTTAACTAGATCATTTCCAGCGGACCGAAGCTTGCCTAATTCTTGATACGCAAAGGCTCTTCTATAAAGAGCCTTAATATGACAAGAATCAAACTCTAACACGAAGGAACAAAGCTTAACAGCTGCAGAATAATAAAGAAGCTTCAAAGCACAAGCCGCATGATTGAGATGCAAAGAAAATGCCAAAGAGCGAAACGAAGATAAAGCTTCCATAGAACATGAGTAAAACACAACAATTTACTAGCCATTTCATACTTAAAAAAGGCAAGTTTAAACTTGCCAGCCTTAAACAAGGAGTTCCCTTACTCCTTGAACTCCGAGGAACATACAACAACATTACCAGGATTATCCATAGAGGAAAGAAGGTGGAAAACATTTTCATCATTGAAATCATTAGGAAGATGAAAAGAAATAATAAAGGATGGAAATATATAACTCCATATTGAGACTCAAAATTCTAATTAAACTAAGAGCCTAAAAAAACGAAACAACAAACAACTCAAGGAGGAGGAAACTCCACCTAGCACAACCACTCAACGACTTCTACAAAAAAAATGGAAGAAAAAACACTTGAACAAAACAATAAAAACTTTAATAATCTTTGTAAAAGAGGCAAACTAACCTAAGAAAAAGAAACAAGAAACGAGACAAATCCTAACAAGGTAGTTTAAAAAAGAAAGACAAAAAGTAATCCATGAATAAAAAAAAGAAACGTGAATATATAAACAAGGGAATTAAAATCAAGAACAGAAGACTAAAACAAGAACATATAAAACACAACCCAACCCAACCCAACTAAAGGAAAAAAGAACCAGGATCTGAAAAGGAGAAGCGAACCAGCAGTAACAAAAGAAAAGGGTAACTCGAAGCACCCACAGAAGATCAGGGTTGCCGGTGGAAGGAACCCCCCAGCAACCAAGAATGAGAACAAATAGGGTTGAGGCTCACCGGAGAACGGGAGCGGCGAGGCCTAGCTAGCAGTTTGCTCGGGAGCAGCCCGAGCGGTGGGAAGTAGATAACCTAGGAGAGAGAAAGTGGTGGGAGCTTGTCTCGAGGATTTTTTTATAGTCATATAACTTAAATATAATTGTTACAATAAGTAAATATGGTTTCAACATATTATTCAAAAAAATCACTATGATAAAGGAAATATCTCCTTTCTCTTTCAACATCAAGATTGACTACTTTTCCGCATAATAGTAAATCACTTATTTGAAACCTTATGGTATGTAGTTGCTTATTATTTGGGCGTGGGAACATGGAGGTGTTGTGCTAGCATTGGTGCACCTTGGTGCTTTTTCTTCACTATGCGGGTGAAGTGGAGGTTTAATACACTTTTACATTTCTAATAATTTGCATTAGAATAACAAAAGTAGATGTCAACCAACTTAATTGGTTAAAGTTTTGAAGTTGATTCTCTAAAAATTAACAAAATACACTCATAATTGAATGAAATTAATTAACAAAAGAAAAACTCACAAACTGAAAATTAAAAGGGGTACGAACATGTAGTACAATTGAAATAATAGAACTTGAATGGACTGACAGTGATTTTGGGTTTTGATATCATTCATTAACAAGCGACAAAGCAGACGCATCTGTTCATGGTATTGCGACGGGCACTTTAGCCACACAGTTCTATCGATTGAACTTCGTTCTAGCAGTCGGTAAATGAAGTTTGATCAAATGATAAAGATGTTGGGATGCAAACTCCACCTAGAACAGGACCTTGTTCATCCAAGCATGAATTTCTACATGCTTTATGATCTGTGCAATCACCTTTGATTGTCTTGCTCAATCTATCGCAAAACTCTCTAAGACGACCTACAATCAAGTAAATCATATCATTTTTTGGTGTTTAGAGAGCCACATTGGCAAATGATGAGAATCAATCCTAAGATCATTTGGAATCAGAAGGCAAGGGAGCTCTAATCGTTTGAGCTATCCCTCACTCTTATATCATGATAGAAGTATAATGATATACTTGGAAAGTATGACAATAACGCCATGCATGTATATTTCGATTACATCATTACCAATAATAATGATACTGTCAATAGAGATCGATGATAGTCAAGTCATTTGGGTCATGTCTTTTTTATACCCTATAACAAAAACGACAAAGATAGTATTTTTGAGATTACTAATTCCTATCCCCCCCCCCCACCTACAATTCACCATATACATAGTATAAAACAAATTGTCATAATGTAGTTAAATCATTAATAACATAATCCTAACACAGACACCAAGAATGACACGTGTTAATTCATGGTGCTTCTTTTCCCCTCCAACTTAAAAAAAAATCTAATCAATAACTTAATACTAAAACAGACTCCGGGAGTGACACGTGTCACATCCTGATGTTGTTTTTATTCCCTCCAAAACTCCCCTTTCAGTTTTAATCTTTTATTTATTTATTTTTTTTGTTAATATTTGTTTCTATAATAATATCATTCTAAATATTTTATATTATCTTTATGACAATTATGTATTCCTTTTTTTTTAGGGGAACAAATATGTATTCCTTTTTATTTGGTGTTCATATTATATTATCTTTTAAATGGAGCTGAGTATTATTAGATTTTGCCAAAAAAGAAATTATAAATTGATTCATATAATAGATGTTATAGTAATCACTTTGAAACATCACTTAATTTTTTTTCAAATACCTCAGTCCTCGGCTAGCTAATATTTTATTTTAATTTAATATAACTATATATTTAAGTTAATTACAATTTTGTTTCTGAAATTTTACTATTATACGTACATATTATCACAAATTAAGGATTTATAGAGTATATTATAGGCGTATAGCTATAAAATAAAAGATGTGTTTGACAAATGATTTTTTAGATATACTAGGGGACTAGAGCGCGCTACGCGCGCTTATGGTTTGTAAATCACGTTCGTTTGTCGTGTTTAGAAATTGGGCAATGTTGGGGGTTTAACAAAATTGAAATGTATGTATTCTATGATTTCTAGATAAAATACAAAGTGTGTAGTTGTGAATTGTAATGTAAGGGAGTATTGAGGATTAGGGAAAAAATAGTATAAGTATATGTAATAATATACTTTAGATTTTATGCATTTTTTCCTTGTGTATCATAAACAAAGTGATGTATATACATCATATATATTGATACGAAGTGTTAGAATATTATTGATGTAAAAATTGCATGTATATGTTATTTTAAAATTATAGATAATCTATATTACATGTAGAAGTCAAGTAATCTATTAAAGATTCACTTAAATTTATAAGTTGGAGTTAGAATGCTAGGTATTGAATTAGGTTGGATGTTATTGTTGACTTTTGAATATAATTATTTATGGTAGATGTTAGAGTTTGTATATTATGCATTGAAAAAGAATAATTGGTGTTGGAGTTATGGGTGACTAATGTGTTGTTGATTGGAGATTGGAATGCTAGGCATTGAATTAAGGTGGATGGTTATTGTTGACTTTGGAATATTATTATTTATGGTAGATGTTAGAGTTTGTGTATGTATTGAAAAAGGTTAATTAGTTTTGGAGTTATGGGTGACTAATGTGAATTGGTAAATGATATTTATTGTAGTTTGAACGTTGTGCTTTTAGTGTTTATTTGTGTATAAATAATGGCTAAGTAATTGTAGTTGTTTGCATGAAAAAGTGAATTATTTGATATGTGATGGCTAGTAGAGGTGGTGTGTGTGGGCGCAAGCCTTTTGTGCAAGGGTCTCGGGAAACAATAGCCAAAACACATGCGTGGTTGAATGATATGGAAACCTATTGGGAAGGAATGTTTTTTAAGTTTGTGTTTTCTAAAGAATATTATGATCAAGGAATTATTGTAAGTTTTTGTGAGACTATGTTTACATAGTGATTATTTTTCATGGTTTATTTTTTTTTGTTGTGTTGTTAATCATGTTTGATGATTTGATGCAGAATGTTCCGTTGGGGTTTGCTAAAGCACACTTTGGCTTGTTTCCAAAATCAACGGATGTTGTTGTGCAACTTTATGATACTCGCTTTGATGCTCAGCTGAAAATCAATAGGCGTGATGAAAAGCTTATTCAATGTTTAATCAAAAATGGAGTTGATGCTGCGATTGACTATTATGAAATACAAATTGATGAAGGAGCGAATATTAGTTATTTTCATGGAAATCCTATAGTATTCGATGTCACATTACAATTGAGTGCTGATTCTTAATGTAGTGTGTTGGTAGAATAATAACTTCTTATAGTGTGAATAAGAGTGTTATTATTATCTTATTGTGTTATGAAATAACAATTACAATAAGTTAAGTGTATCATCATTTTCTCACATATTTCGGTATTTTAATATGTTATACACATATTTTGGTATTGTAATAAATAGAAATTATAAATCAATTTAGATATGTATTTCATGAGTTAATTGGATTATCTAATAACAAATTGTAATACATTCTAATATAAAAGGTTTTTGACATATGTGAAGAGAAAAAAAATTATCCGGGATTATTTATATGTAGGCTTTTTTTAACAAAAATTTTTTTTTTTAAAAAAATTACTTTTATAATCGAGTGTTTGCGCAAATAGGTGCATTGTATGAAACAGTGTAATTTTTCTTCTTCTTTTGCATGGTATGATAGACAACTGAAAAGACATTTACGATAATTGATGGTTTGCGTTGCTTGAAAACAGAGAAAATAATCATCATTTTCTCACATTTTCCCAAACTCGTTTTGCATTCTTGAAAGTTGAATACCCTTCCTCTCAATTTCTCCCGTTTCATCTTCTCCATCTGCACACCTAATTGAAATATCTAAACAACACCATGTCTGGATTTGATGATAGTAATAGAATCTTTGATGATTGGTACCAGAATTTCCTTGTCAAGCGCAAAGACAGCCTTCGTGGCCAGTTTGTGGCCTGGGGAGGAATTCAAACACAAGCTAAAAAAGAAGATGGATGAAGGATTGTGATGCGCAGATAGCAAAGTGTGATGATGTGGCTAAGAGGAAAAGCAAGGCCAAAGAGAAAAAGCCAGGAACGCAGGGCAAGAAACCTGAACCCGGAAGCAACTATGAAACTCCAATCAAAGTCGACAGCGATTCTGATGATGACGAAACACCAGTGAGAATGATAAGATATGTTGGTGTGCAGGGTGAGCCATCTAAATTCAGAGGTCAATGCAGTGGTACTAAGTTGGTGTTTGGTGCTGGGGTCGAAGGAGGGGAGGTTGATATGGATATCAGCGAGGATGAAGGTATAGTGAAACATGTTATTGACACAACAGTGGGTGCGTTTGCTGAAGCAGAGGAAGAGGAACATGTTGTTCGGGTTCAGGGTGTTAGTGCAGCGCAACAGAGCCCACAGCAGCAGCAGCAAAAGGATTCGGAGGAGGAGGATGCAGATGAGGAAGAGGAGGCTGAGGAGCAAGGTGATACTTCTAAGTCAGCTAATGGTCATCCTTACCATTATTATTCTCCGGATATGTCTGAAAGCGATGATGAAGCTTATGGGTTTGATTCTGATTAAGATTCAAAGCTTTCTGTGTTTTTGTTCAGTGAAGTAGCTTTATTTTAGGTCTTTCTTAGTTATTTTAAGGCATTATCTATTTTGAACCTAAGTTATGTATTTATGTTAGATGTATTAATACATGATTGTAGGGGTCTTTTGTTCACAAAATATGCTTTGAATTATTGCTGGTGGTGTATTACAGCATGCTTGTTATTGTTGAAGGTGGATATTGCTTGTGAATGAATATGATTATGCTGGAATTACTTATGTCTTTGATTGTTGATTGTGGTTGAATGAAATATGTTAGTTTATTTTGAGCTAGATAGTTACAATGTGATTTTGCATAAAAGCAAAGTGTTCATTGTGAAAGGAGAGTGATTTTCAGTCCATTTTGATATAGGTGAATTTTCAGAGTTGTAGAATGTTTGGCAGGGAAAATCAGTTGAGCATTGAAATCATTCACAAACAAAGAGTGTTTGATCTTTCAATCTATGTAATGCTGGCAGAATTTTGGTGCTGTGAATATGCGTAGAACAAGTACATATCAGGAAGCCTATTTTGTTGTAGTTCTAATACTAATTTCTAATAGCCATGACTTGTTTAACTAATGGGATTTTTCGTTAAAACTAAAAAATACTTGTCCTAGAAAAACTCAACCGAAATTTGTTGCTGTAGCGTGCTATACGGCAATGTAGTTATTAATAATATTTAGACAATGCATTTTGAGAGCTTTAGCACGTAAAAAATAAGGAAAAAATTGCTAGAAAGCCGTACACATTAATTCGGAAGAACTAAAACAAAATTAGTGATTATGTGTGATATTTGAAGGGGAAAGGCAAGAAGATTGACTATTAGTAAGGAAATTTTTAAAAATGGTAGAAATAGCTGCTAACTGACACAAATCATGCATTGACTGTGAAACATTAGAGTATATAGTACAAGAAATTTCTGAATTGAAGCCTTAGTTTAGTATGCAGCAGATAATTTTTTTTACAAATTGAGCGAAACTGCATGCAAGACAAAACAACAACATACAAACAAAAGCAAGATTTAAGTGCCAATCAAAAGCAAGTCTTTTTGGCAGGTGATTAGAGAATAGCTAACTTACTAATAGCAATTACTAAGGTCTCAAACAAGAACACAACTCAAAATGATAAGCAACGCTCATCGAGAATGATGTGTTCTGATGTGAGCCCGTAGATCAGCAGACTTAGTATTCACTCGCGGGAAACTGACTGCACTACCCACCTAAGTACCCCTGCCCTGTTCAAGGACTGTGCTGGGTGAATTATGATGTGCATTGGTGTGTTCTTCAGTGCTACAGCAAGGTGGTCAAAGTCACTCCAATCATCCTAAGATAAATAGAATAGAAGAAAGTGTCATTGCAAGAATAGGTTTATATAAGCGATTTTATTCAATAAGACACTTGTTTGATTAATTAGGCACCTTAATTTTCCTCTCAAAAATTTCTAATGTAGGCAACTGGAGGATTTTCTCACATACTGGACCAAAGGCAGTCAGGCGGAATGTTCCAGTATTGTCTGCTGCATCAAAGGTGAAATTAACCCTGCAATGGCCTGGAGTTAGTGTTTTAAAATTGAGTGTAGTAGTTGGCTGCATAAAATAAGCATGCTGAAAAGCAAAGTGCACCTTTCAGTGGAAGTGCATTTTTTGTTAGGGCAATGTGGACAAAAAAATGGTACATTTGCAGCAACTCCACAGCGTTTACCACAGCCATCACAGCCAATGTAAGCAATGACATTGCTTAGCTGTGCATCAGGAATTGTGACAGTGATTGTGTACACCTCTTCTTGGACAGTGTTGTCAACCTGGAATATTTAGGGTGAGTTAGAAAATTAAGTGCTGGTGGCAATGGGATAGGGAGTAGTTGCCAAAGAGGCTCACATTTTTTTTGATGATCTGATCAAGTGTTGTAGGAACTGGTTCAACACCAACAGTCATGAATTCGAGTTGCCTGGCCATATAGTCAGTAATGACATCTAGATGTGCATGAGCCCTATTGACAGTAAAAAGGGCAGGAAGAAGTGAATTGAACTAAGGAAGCTAAATATAATTCTATAATACAATGTAATCTTAGTGCTGACCAAGAACACTAAGGTTGTTTACTTACCAGGCTCTTAAAGCTTCAACTTTCTCACCAACAGGGGTTGGGTTAATTTCTGTAGACATACTTGATTGCAGAGAAAAGCCTGTGAAGATTGCATTAGTAATTTGATATTGCGGAACCTTTAAAATAATAGATGGTGTAAATGTGTATAACCTCTGTGAGTTGCAGGCTTAAGAAAAGTTAAGCTTACAACCAAGGGGCTGGATGACCAATCCTTAAGGAGTTCACAATCAGAAGTTGCAAGCTGACCCCATGCAGAGATGATCATGGGTCTAGTACCAGTGCTGCAAGGGCAAGGAATTGTAAGTTTGTATTTTGGTTAGTATATTGGTAGTGGTGCTGTTAATGTGCAACTGAGGTGTTACCTTTCATCAACAATGCTTATATCGCGCACATCAGCAACTCTACCTGACTTGTATGTCACTTGGCGGACATCTTCCATGTGGACCACTACGCCTAGCAAATCTAGCAAACGGCAGCAGATGAGTTCAATATGGCTAAGAGATGATGTGGTCTTAGGTAGTAAACACAAAGGAAGTTTTCATGCAATGAAGACAATACAAGCAGCTTACCAAACCGATCATCCTGATCACTGGTATTAGGGACATCAGCAATAGGGATGTATTCTGGCAATACAAGTCCTTCAGTTCGATCAACAGGTTGGATTTTAGTCATGCCTCCAAAGGTTAGCTCACATTCGCCTGGGAAGGAACTGAACTTGGGGTTTACGACTCTGACCGGAGCATTAGCAATTTCATACTTTTTCTTGTGTTCAAAGACTCTCTTGAAGTGGTCACATTCATCTCCGAACAAAGTAGCTTTCATGTTTTTTCCCTGCATTGCAAAATATTAAGCTGATGTGCAGTAGCATATGCTTATATATTTGAAAAGAGGAAGGGTAAATGGTAACATATACCTCATCGTCTTCGAATACCAGCTTTTGGAATATTTTTTTGTTAGGAGGAGATCGGATAGGGGACTTTTCTTTCACGGTAACCCGCACTTTGTATGCTTTCGTTATAGGTGAAAGCTTGTCCAAAGGAGTGTATTCAGGTTTCATCTTTGGACATGAGTTTAAATAAAAATGTTACATGGGTCTAAGTTGTTTTATTTTGCAGAGTCACTTATTATTTGTTGTAGCTAACAATCTAATATGTTATAACTGGATTTTCAAATGTACAAATAATCTAGGATGATATCTGTTTTATTTTATTAACTCTGCCACTTGTATTGAATGGTAAGGCACATGAGGGAATCTAGTATGAATAAGTATTTTGGCAGGAACAGCTTTAACTTGCAGACAATAGAGTGACACTTAACCATATATAAAAGAAAGGTAAGTGTTCACAATTTTACAAGCCTTCCTTTTCATTTTTTCCCCTACAGTGTTGTAGCTTAGTGTTCTCAGAACAAAGTAGGCAGCAATGTCCAGCTAAGGAAAGAGTAAGATGGAAAGCAGTAAAGAAGGTGACCTCCCCAACCAGCAAAGGTCAAGCCCTCTGGAGGAAAGGGTTGTTGTTTTAGAGCAGAAGGTGGAGAACCTGGAAGCAGTTGTGCAAGCACTTTGCTTTGAGCCAGAAGATAAGCAGCCAAGCCCAAAGAAAGAAACTCCAACAGAGGGAACCAGCAAGCCTAAGATTATTCTTGGCTTGGATGACATCCACCACCATTCAAGCCCGGAATATTCACCTGAGAGTGATGCTTCTTATGGTGGTCGTTTCTAAGGGAGCTCTTAATTTATATCCACACTTGTTGTAGGTTTTTAGGCTTACTAATGTTGGTTCTTAACTAAAAAGGTCTTATTATTGTTGTTTTCATGTAATACCAGCTTCAAGCTGGATTTTCAAAGTGGGAGTAGCTAGTTGTTGTTTTTTATCAGTTGTACTTTGTCTTTAAATCTCCCAAGTAGTAGTTATTATTGCTATAAGTTGTATTTTCTAAGTACTAATGGTTATCTATTGGTGTTGTGTGGATTTATTTATTATGTCTGTTTTTACCAAAAAATAAGTCCTTTTTTTTCCAACTGCACATGCAAAACCTATTATCTTCACTAATGCAGAACTAAGCAATTCTCTTTGAGATTGAATTTTAAGGCATGGTTTCCATGCAAACTTGAAGATAAAGAAAAGTTTAACCATTTTTAGATTGTGTATTGTGGTCCAGATAAATGAAGTCTGAATATGGCTAGCTAATACTGAGTTCTAATTAAGCAAATTCTATAAAAATTTTGAATTGTCAGCATATTATCAACTAAGGCTTGTATAAAAGGAAGTGGTAACTTTAGTAAGGCAAAGCTTTACAGGTAAATGTACCAAAAAGAGAATTTTTTATAAGCTTAGCATTTACATAATGTGTGTCAAAGTGCTAGTCAAAGCTAGTATAAAGGGCACTGATTATAAGTTCAGGAGAATGTAATGTGAAAGTTGTTTAAAGTGTACATGCAAATTTCGAAAGCTAGGTAATGCACCCTGTATAAATTAAGCAATTGATAAATTTCTAAATAATATTATCTATAAAACAAAGCATGATTATCTGTCATAGAATTATACAAATGAAGTTTTAGGTACATGGTTTGTTAAGTGGCTTAGCAAGTAAGCTAGAGTGAGTGATTGTGTCCTATCTTTGTAAATTGAATCTAGACAACAGCAAGGCATTGCTAATTTGAAAGCAAAAAGAAAATTACAAATGAAAAACTGAGTTTAAATTGAAGAGGAAAAGCATTTATGGACGTACCTTGTTAGAGTGGGTTTGCAAGCAGTTATTGCTAGATCACAGCAGCAGAAAACTAAAGTGACAGAGATTTTTCTGTAAAATAAAGTAGAGCATAGTATGGACCAGCAGTCAATAAGATGTGTGTGGGAAAAGTAAATGCTGAAATTTGTACTGTGGGTAATAGAATGAATGATGTTTTGCTGCAATACAGCTGCAAAAGCAAAGATGTAATACAAAAGCAAAAATGAGATTTGTCTTTATAGCAAATCTGATTCATTTTTTTTAAGGGTAATAAGGTTGGAAAACCTAGGATATTTCCATTTTTGTGTTACCAATTTCAATATACTTAAGATTGTATTTAAAAATAGAAAAGTGGGGAAAAAAAATCACATGCAATAGGTGCAAAAGTAACTGTATATATCATATAACATAATACATGGCTGTAAACATAAATATCTCTAGAACCTTTTTATTGTGCTTTAACACAAATGAGCTTACGAGAATTTAGAAAGCTTAACCTTAGGCTCAATTACATTATAGATATATAGAAGCAAAAGCACCTGCATTTGTAACATGGTAAATATTATGTTAGTTACAACATGTAGAATAGCTGATTTAAAATTAGGCTAGCAGATTAAGTAATTAGGGAGCTATACCTTTACATTCTTGTATCATTTTATGCTAGATAATTGCAAGACATCATACGCTACAACGTTTTTCAGGACCGGTGAAGTGTGTTGTTCATTTGGGTATGGTGTGATCACAGTCACTTTAGCTGACTTCTTTGCCCTTGACAAGGAAACATATAGTTGTCCATGGGAAAAGCATGGTTGTGGGAGGTAAACTATCACTTCGCTTAGTGTCTGGCCTTGAGATTTGTTTACAGTCATTGCAAAGCTGAGTTTCAGAGGGAATTGAATTCGCTCAAACTGAATAGGATATTTTGTTGATGATGAAGGTCGGAGATTAACACGATGAATGAATACAAGCTCTCCTCGACGATGACCAGTGGCTATAGAACAAACAATTACATTCCTTCTGAAAGACTTGCATATAAGACGTGTTCCATTGCAAAGCCCATCTGCTGGATCAATGTTTCTGAGCAATATTACAGGACTGTTTATTTTAAGAACAAGTTCATGCGGAGTCATACCACCAGGGGCTAGCTGGTTTAGGAACTCTGTAGGGTAAATGGCACAATTGTCATCTAGCATGCTATCAAAGCTCTTGTAAATTACAGAGTTTCCTGGAAATTTTTCTATGAGAACAGTGTTAATAGCATCAACTGCATCATTCAATGGTGTAAGAATGGCTCTCTCTGTGAATATATCTGGTGAAAATAATGCATGTTCTAATTCTGGAAATGCAGTAGCAGCTAGGTGATTGATAGGATCATCACTCTCATGATAATAACTCACAATGTGAGGAGGAACCTGAACATAAGAATTTCCATTAGATTGTAGCTGGCCATTGCCCAAACTCAGCAGAAATGAAGCATATGGGGGATCTTCTCTTGCTCTGATGTTTTCAGTTAGGTGTAGCTTCTCTAGCCAAGGCCAAATATGTGAGTTTACCAGGCTTGCTGCAACAACTTCTCTTTGAGTTTTGCGAGGAACAACTGGAAAAACCTGCCTAAAATCTCCCCCAAAAACTACAATCTTTCCACCAAATCGTTGTTCTGCGTCACAAAGGTCACGAAGCAAAAGCTCAACTGATTCAATGTTTTCTTTTTTAGCCATTGAAGTTTCATCCCAAATAATAAGAGCTGTTTCTCTGATTAAAGCAGCTAGGCTGCCTTTTTTGGGAACATCACAGGCAAGAGATGTCTCTGAATCCAGGGGAATCTTAAATCTTGAGTGCGCTGTTCTTCCAGAAGGGATGTTTTCTGCAGCAATCCCTGATGTAGCTGTTGGCAGAACAATCTTTCCTGACATGCAAACCTCTGCGTATAACGCATTGTATAAGAATGTTTTGCCAGTTCCTCCAGGACCATCAACAAAGAAACAGCCAAGCTTTCCTGATTGGACTTGAGAAATAATCCTGTCAAATGCAATTTGCTGAGCTGAGTTCAGTTTGCCTCTACAATCAATACACTCTTGAGGAATAGGTGCATCTAACTAAGGCATCAATGATGTCTTTTGTTCTGTTCAGCTCTTCTGGCAGCTCTTCATGTAAGTGATCAAGATGGAAATGAGCTAATGATTTTCCCATAGACTCTAAATGTCGTTCAATTGACTGTATAGTCAGCAACTTAACACGGAATTCGCTCCCAGGATCAGCATGCCTGTAATCATCAGATAGGTCATTGTAGAATCGCTGCCACAGTCTATTTGGGTTAGTGGGGTTGCAGAACACACAAACAGCTGCAAATAAGCGCCGTAAGGCTCCTGGCAAGTGTATTTCTGCTGCTTCAGCCAAGCATGCATGAACAACATTGTCTTCTTCACATAAGCCTCTTTTACTAGTTGCTTCTTGAAAAGTGGTGCAAAGTAATCCATTAACAATCCGAAGGTCAGTGAATGACTTAGGGCTGCGTACATTAACAAGCAACAACCGTAAGAAAAATTGCTCTCCTTCTGCTGGTGTCACACTTGCCAGCCGACCAACCACAAGTTTCTTGTTTTTCCGTTGAAACCATCTTTTCTTACCGGCATCCCATCTGTTGTGCTCTATAAATTCGATGTAAAGGTATCCTGTACCTTGAGGTGAGGCTGCATTTGCCTTAAAAAATTCTGACAATTGAGTTTTGGATCTACGCTCATTTAGCATGGCAGAATCTAACTGTTCATGAGCACGTAACTGAACAGTTTGCATGTTTTCCAGATGCACTGCCAATTGTTGCACAGGTGGGTACATCTCAAAGAGATCAAAGGAAAAAATTCGCCAAACTGCCTCACATGGTGACACCCATCGTCCAGACTGAAACCTCTCTATTTCATCTTCAGAATTTTTTTCTATACCAACCACATTGAAAGAAACCCTATCATGGCCCTTATAAACATACTTGTACAGATACTTCACAGCCTTAATAGATGAGCACACTTCTACATTCAAATGGCAATCAAATAACATTGAAAGGTATGGATTGTATGGAATGACCCAGCGGTTATCAAGGCTTGCACCCCTTATTCAGACACTTTCTCCCATATCTATTCTTATGTACATGGGATATCCATCATCGTGGTTCGTTGTTTCATGTAAAAAATGTTTCGGGTAGCCATATTTACAAGACAGGGGAGAATTGTGCTTTGTAGTCATGCATGCACATTCAGGGTTAATTTCTCCACATGGCCCATGCATCATATGCCGTACCACAATCTTCCGAAGTTCTGGGGAGCGGTGAGGTGGCAGCTCTGCAGAGACAAAGCGATCAAAATCTGTAGGATTTTGGATCTTGTAGCCTGGTTTTAAGATAATGAGAAACTGTGCATGAGGTAGACCCCTTTTTTGGAATTCAACCACATATATCATAGCAGCAACTTTTCCAAAAATATGCTTCTTCATTATTTGTTTTTTCAAGCAGATCGACTTTGCCCGGAAAACACGAGCAACAAGATCTGGTCGGTTTTGCGCTGCTTCCCCAGGAGCCAGTTCTGCCTTAATCTCTGGCCAATTAGCATTGCAAGTCATTGTGACAAACAAATCTGTCTTACCAAATCGTTGAACCAAAGCCATTGCATTTAAGTAGCGGCGCTTTCATGTCTCGTGGACCACCAATAAAAGTTGGAGGTAATATAACTCGCCGACCAACATTCATGGGATTTGTTTCGCCACTCTCAATTGAGTCTAAGATCCCCTGGTACAAATCAGCTCTGATTGCATGTTGATTGTGTCGGAAAAAATCTAGGCGAGTATTTTCAATATTCACATACATATCGTCTATATATTGCTGAAGACACCGGCCTGCTCTAAGAAGCATGTTGTTTGGCCGAGATTGCAGCTTGTAAGCATAATATTCACGAGGCGAAATATGCCTAGCTGAAGTACCACTTGCATCTGCTAGACCTGAAATCAGGATGCTTGCAATGTCTGTCAGATAAGGCACACAATGATAGGCTAAGAGGTATGATGAAAACAAGCAAGTTCATTACTGAGTTGAAAAGCTTACGTGTTGCTTCCTGTTCAAGAACATCTTCCTCTGTGTGTATTGCAGCCTGTTCGAGCACATGTTCCTCTGTATGTATTGCAGAGGCCATAGCAGAGTTTCCTTGCTCCTGAGATGCGCCGCTTTTTTTAGTTATACCTTCACTCCAACCACAATCACCATAAGGAAATAAGAGTGGGTACTGCAGAGGATCATAACATCCGTAATGATGGTATATACGATGAGGATCGTTTGATTTTCCTCTTACAACAATATATGGGCTGCTGGACTCACTTGACGATGTATCGTCAGGCCAGATCACAGCCACCTCATCTGTTGTAGGAGCATTATAGGTGCGTTGGTCTACAACAGTGTTTTTGTTGATCAAAATTTGTGTGTCTTCTTCAATGTCAATTTCTCTCAAAGATCTGAAAAAACGAGCGTATGGATTATGCTCAGTTACCTCCATAAGTATATTTATAATATGCTGTCTAATCTGATTAAAGCAGTCTTTCCTAGCAGTTGCTTCAAATTGGCCATCATAAAAATAGAGCTGCAAATATCTGGGACCTTTATCACCAGGGATTAAATCAGGCAAGTTATGGTAAATCTGGCCATGCAATTTAAAGACATAAATTCCTTTTTCTGTATCTGCATCATACTTGCCACCCAATGAGCTAAATGCAAGTAAGTTATTATATAAGCGGATATATTGTCTAAAAAGCATTGCATCATCTTCATCAGATGTTAAGAGTCTATATAATGCAGGAGGATAATCATTAGTTGCTAATTCAATTGATCCATTTCCACAACAGAAATGCAGTGATTCATGCTGAAATTTTTTTGCATTACAGTGCCCACAATACCTAGGTGCTTTAAGCTTCAGAGGAGCAGCTGGTAATTTTAGACCAACCATAGCAGCTGGAGATTCTGCTATGCATGGAGTAATTGCCACATTAATTTATTGGTTTGTAACAGTACAAAACAAAAATCTAAGAAATATGGACAAGAAAACTTACTTGTCTTCTTAGTAGTGGGCTGCTTCACTACTTGCTTTTGAGAAAGATCAGCAGCAGTCTCTGTGATATGTAAATGTAAGAAGCAAGGTCTAAGCAATCAGGCATCTAAAAACTAACTGAAAAGGTAATGTGCACAGTTTTGTTGTTAAGATAGCATTAATAGTGGTCACTGCATATATAATGTGTTTATGTGTCAACCTTTTGCCTCATGGACAATGATAATTAAATAGTTGTTGTGTCAAAGCTTAGCTTGCTGTTAAAAAACTATACTGAAAAAAGTCTATTTGCAATATTAACACCTAATATGAATTTAATTATAAAAGGGAAGAGGTCACTTTGAATTGTATTTTTGTTTCCACAGGCTAACCTACTGACCTTTGCCTGAGCTAGCTGTGGTGTAGATTTAAAATTACCCTCTGTTTTTTTTTTTTGGGGGGGGGGAGGGTAAGAAAAGCAAACAAATGAATATGAAAGGAGATGGGGATAAATTTCCAGTAATGCAGAATCATGATATTGAAGCTAGGCTTCGAGTGTTAGAGTTAAGCGAAGCTAATCTACATGGAAAATTATCTAATGTCATGTCTGTTCATTCTGATGCAGAAAAGAGGATAACAAAGCTAAAGAGGAAATTAGATGAAATATCAACTGAAGTTTTAAAGATCAGGAAGCTTGGTAAAGGGAAAAAAGCTAGAAAGAATGTTGCAAGCAAAGCTGGTGAATTTTCACCTGCTGTGCAGATAAGAAAGAGCAAAATGCTGAACAGAAACTGCAATGAAGATGCCACCATTGTTGTTAATGATGAGGATGCTGGAATAGCTCAGGAAGATGTGAACAAAGACATTGTCGAAGAAAATGAAGTGAAAAGTGATATAGTCATCCAACACTTGTGGTGGGGATAATACACAAAATAAGAATTTTATGGGATCTTCATGTAAATGGCTTGACAATGAAGAATGGTTATTATGATCTTAATGTTGGCAGGGAATTGTGCACTCTGAATTTTAGCTTGTTTTTGTTATGTTGTAAGCCATTTTAGATTTTGCTACTTTATAATGTATGAATAACCTCTACTCTAGATCCTTATGATGCTGGGTTATAGAGTTGTCAGGGGAAAATTGTTCAATTTGTTGTAAAAGCAGAAATGCAAATCTGAAGAGGTTATTATTAAGTCTATACGATATGCTATTCTGAACTATACCATGTACACTTACTGGTTGTCTTAGTTTGTGATTTCTTCAACTTTGGGTTCCTTGTTTTGCCTTGTTCACTGGTTTCACCTATTTCCCTATATTCACAGCAACCAGTCAATGCTAAAGAAGTGTTGTTGTTAACCATTAAATAGAAAAAAATATGTGTCTTAGTGACAAATAGAAGCAGTAAGACCTTATAGGAACAGGTGGTTCAGACATAGAAGCATTTGCTCGCTTGCGCTTGCTAGCTCTCGGATTATTAGTAGTATTCTGATACAGCATGCACTGGTCTAAAAGTGGCCTTCCAGTAGCCTCACTGGCAGTTTGTGCACTATTCAATTCAGGTGCATTAACAGGCAAGACATGAGGGCCTGTAATCAAAAGACCATGTTATCTAAGTGCAGCAATAAAGCAATGCATAATTCAAGACTGTGGTTTATAGTTAGGAGTGTTCATTTAGCATGCCCTATGAGTATCAGTCTAAGATCTTTATAGTTCACAGCCATAGTACTTATCCAAAAGACATATAATTGTTCTTACTTTTACTTCTGTTCAGCAATCCGGCAGACAATTGATCACCTCTGGCTAAGCATGCCTCATTAGGTTCTCTGTATGATACAAGCAAATAGGGAATTTAAATGAATGTGAAAAAAAGTGTGAGCAAACACTGAGAGTAAATTAGCAGGGTACATTTGCAACCAGAACAACAAATGACCTTATTGAAACAGGTGTCCCAGACAAAGCTTGTAAGCCCTGTAAACGCTTGCTAGTCCTAGTTTTTGCAGGACCTTTCTTAGCACCTAAGCAGCGTTCTGGAATACAATGAGAGTACATCTCCCTGCCATATTCAAAAGCTTAGCTTGCCACCCTCTTATCTTATCTAAAGACTTAGACAATAACTCCCAATAATGTATTTTTTTTAACTTATTTGGGCTGATGTTAATGCCTAGGTATTTTCCAAAGGAAGAGCTAGATCTAAAATTACATATAGAAGTAAGATGGTGTCTATATAATCCATTTTTGCTGGAAATATAATGCTGGATTTCAAGTCATTGACTTTTAAGCCAGAGAAAGCACCAAAATCCTCCAAAGTGGAAAGCATGACAGAAAGATTTTGAACATTAGCAGTTCCAAAAAGGAAAACATCATCAGCATAGAACAGATGGGAAAGGCTATAATTTTTTGTGATTTTTAGAGGTTTCCACACACCATTTCTAACACTATCCTCAATTAGTAAAGAGAGTCTTTCCATACATAAAAAAAAAGATAGGAAGAAAGAGGGTCTCCCTACCTAATTTCCCCTTGATGGTTTAAAACTTTTTGTAATTCCCCCATTCCATAAAACAGAAATATTGGTGGAAGACACACAATGCATAATCAGTCTGATGGTGGACTATGGGAAATCAAAGCATGTAAGAGTATCTGCAATGAAAGACCACTCAAGACAGTCATAAGCCTTTGCTAAATCTAGTTTCAAAGCCATGATATGTTTGTTCTTCTTACTCTTATGAAAGATATGAGCAACCTCTTTAATAAGGATGATGTTATCCTCCATACATCTATTTTCAATGAAACTAGACTGAAAGGGGCTGATCACTCTATGCAAAATGGATTTCAGTCTTGAGGAGATGATTTTAGTGACCAATTTATAGATGGTATTACAAAGACCTATTGGTCTAAAATCATTCATGGTGCAAGGGTGATCTTTTTTAGGGATGAGGGAGATATAGGAATAATTCAAATCTGCTGGAATAGTTGAGTCTCTAAAAATGGAAACTACAAACTCATGAATTGAGACTCCTAACTCATTCCAGAAATGTTGATAGAAAAGAGACTGAATACCATCTAGGCCAGGGCTTTTAATGGGATCCATCCTAAAAAGATTGGATTTGATTTCATCCAAAGAGGGAAGAGCAGAGAGAAGCTCTTTGTCTGAAGGATTTAAGGGAATGATAGAGACACAGGAAATAGAGGATTGACTAGACAGGGAGCTACTAAACAAGGAAATGAAATGACTCCTAGCTAGGTCCTTTAGAACCATTTGGTCATCTATTAAAACACCTGAAGAATTAGTCAAAGCTACAATTTTGCTTCTGCTTTTCTTAACTTTAGCAAGGATATGAAAATATTTGGTATAAAAATCACCAAATTTTCTCCAATTAATACCTGCTTTTTGTGCCCAAATCACTCTTTCCATTTTATAGATTCCATTTAATTCAAAAAGAAGAGACTTTTCAAGGTTGACTAAAAAGGAGGAAATGTATGCCATTTATTCTAGCCAACAAAATCTTTTTCTTTTTAGTCAAATTCCCAAAAATATTGTCATTCCAAAAGGGGGCATTTTTAATGAAATTAGATCTGCCTTCTAAAAAGGGAATGTGCTGATCATTAGCAATCCAATTTGAGGTGAAAAAGTCCTTAAAATCCTTATGTTGAAGCCAAACCTCTTTGCATCTAAATGGGAAAGGGTCATTATTTCTTTGGGAGCATAAACTAATCAGAATAGGGCAATGATCAGAATATGTTTTAACAAGATTAGTAACAGATACCTGAGTAAAGACTTCCATAAAGGCAGCATTAACAATTTCTCTATCCAATTTCTCTCTGATAAGAGCTCTTCCATGCCTTGCATTCTCCCAAGTGTAAGGATTGCCTATTGTATGAAGATCCATCAAACCAGCTTCATTTGTGAAATTTGTATAATCCTTACATTGAGAAGATCTGAAAGGCCTTCCCCCTTGTTTATCCCCTTAAGATGTAATCTCATTCATGTCTCCTACAACCAACCAAGGAGTGGCAGAGGGAGGAATATTGCTTTGCATTTCATTCCAGAAAGCATGCCTCTCCCTAGCCACACTAGGGGCATGCATACCAGTGACAAGCACCTCTGAATTATGATTATAAAATTTAAAGAGGGAATGAAACTTATGGTTGTCATTATTATACAAGATCAGATCAACAGTTGCTTTAAAAAATAGGCATATTCCTCCCTTTAAACCTCTTGCAGGAATTACCCTTTTTTCATGAAACCCTAGCTGCTTCATGAGATCAGAAGCTTTCCCATCATCACACTTTGTTTCAAGCAAAATCAGAATATCAGGTTTATGCATCTTAACTAAATCCCATGCATGTGATATAAAGTCATCATTATTAACACCTCTAACATTCCAAACTATCAACTTCATTTTTAAGTTAGGAAGAGGTTTCTGAGGAGATAACCTGGGAATGTCACCTTGTTGATGATTGATTGGTAGGAAGAATTCCTCTCAATCCTTCCAGTGTTGCCAATGTCCCAGACCGTGAACATCCTCCACCTTGATCGGTGATATGTAAGTTCTGAGAGATGGAAGCATCCTGTAATTCTCCTCCTGGAAAAACAGCTGCACTTGAATCCCTAATACTTCCCCTAGAGTCTGATAGATCGCCATAGGGGGTCCCTGAAGAGCCATGTCTTGACCTTCTGTTGCGCATTGCAAGGGAATGGTTGGTAATTTTTCGTGCATGCGTCTGAATTGGAGTAGTCTGTCGTGAGATGGCTAGTTGAGGGATAGACTCATCCTTGCATGAGGAGTTAGAATCTCCTCCCTTCTTCTGAGAGCATCCAGAGCTATCATCGCAGATGATGTCTGAAGAGATTGAGATGAGGGGATTCGAGTTGTTGTGCAAATAGGGCGAGGGACTATGGGAAATAGAGGTAGAGTAGATGGGGGAGGCGATTGAGGTTTGTATGTCCATTCCCTCGCAAAGGATGATTTCTGGATATGGTACACTACTGACGGTGGAGGTGTTGTTTGTGGTGGCGGAAAGTTCAGATTGAGTATGCTTGGGATTGTGGCTGAGCTGCATGGAGGAGGGGTCAACACAGTTGGTAGGGATGGAATGGAATGTTTCCTTGTTGGTACAGGTTTCCAAACAGGGATGGATGGGTTGGTGGATGATGTTGGTGGTTGAGTTAGGGTCATGGTGGAGGGTGTGATCACTTTGTCCTTTTCCATTTTCTTGAGAAAAAACTGAGGAAGAAGATGAATGAACAGTTGTAGTTGCAGAAGAAGAGATAGAGCTAGGTAGGGTAATGTCTGAAGCAGGAGTATTTAATGCTTTGGAAGAAATATTTTTTGTGGGAAAAACTTGAGAATTGGTAGAGTGCAAATTTGGCAAAGCTTGAATGTGAAGATCTTTATCAATATTGTTCTCTGACACAATGTCCAAATGTTGAGAAGTAGTACTTAGCTCAAGTGTATCAGTGGTACAAACTTTACTTGGAGTAGTAGAAATATCAATTATACCCTCTTTAATGCATGGAGACGAGTTAGGTGGCATTAAGTTACCAGTAATAGCAACTTGAGTCTCTTCCTCTTCAGGCCTGCTTTCAGCAAGTAAATGCCATGAATGCCTCGAGCCTTGAGCAAACTTATTGCTGGGTAATACTTGTTTCTGTACTTGAGCTTTGTTCCCTTGTATTTTATTTTTCCCAGTTGGAATGTTGTTGCTATTTTTAGCAATGGGTTGAGATTTGCCTTTTTGTTTCTTTGATCCACTTACCAAAGTCCATGGGAAATACCCTTCTGTTTTATCATAGGAACAATCAGGAAGGGCCCCTACTTTAGTTTTGGCCTTACTTGTACTAGCAGCCCAATGTGAGGTTGAGGGCTGTGTTGTCAATGAAGAGGTGGTGTCCAAAATTGGTGCCAAATTCTTATGTGGGGTCCCATCTACTTGCATATCAACATTTGAATTTCCATGCAACACCTGGGAACATTCCTTAGATTGATGCCCAATTTTTCCACACGTAAAGCATAGAGAATGTATGTTTTCATATTGGACATGCTGTCATCCACCTCCAACCCAAACCTTAGTGATTAGCGAATTAGTCATGCTAATTTCAATACAAACCCGTGCATATCTTGCTCTTGATAACTTATCTGTAGCATAATCTACTCTTATAGGGGTGCTAATGCGCTTTGCAATATCAAACAACGCTTCCTTATCATAATATTCAACAGGCAATTCTGGAAATCTAATCCAAACTGACATGATATCAAAATTGGTAGAAGAAGATATGAAATTTGGTTTCCACTTGGATAATACTAAATAGGTGATCTAATATAAACCAAGGTCCCCCATACAAAGCCCTTTCATAATCATCCAAAGTTGAAAATCGAAAAAGATAAACATTGTTTCCAACATCTATAGTTTCTAGCGTACCACGAACCTTCCACATGATTCGTGCACGAGAAGCCATAAAGCTAGGTCTAATATTGAGACCTAGACACTTACCCATAAGAGTTAGTTTCCAAGGCTCTCTTAGTCTTGCAAGTGTTGCAGGTGTAAAACCCACCGCTAAAGGAGATGCTGGTAACTCTTCTGCCTTATCATCCCAATCAAGAGATGTAATAGCAATATTCCTTGCTTCACTGAACCATTGAATTGAACTTTCCACCGCTTCCCTAAAAGAAATTGCTGCTGATGGATTTTTAGATTGCGGGGCATTTATATTAGAAATCATATTAGAAGTCATAGGTTGACAAACATCCATATGATCGCTAGAAGGAGACTCTTCTGTTGATATAGCAACTATATCATTAAGAGGCCTAGAAACACTCTCTTCCATTATGGAAGTAGAAGAAATAAAAATACTAGAAAAATATTATTCTAATCAAAGCAAACTCCCAAGGCCTCCACACCCCGGGGTGTGAAGAAAATCCCTAGTGATTTACAATGAAAGTGAAATATTTTTTTTATATTTTTTTTTAGAATTTTTTAGAGAAATTTCGTAGAGAGCATTTTTCTAGAGAGAGATATTTGAAGCTCTACAAAAAGGTCATTAGATGATCATTATTTAGATTGAGCCACATTAAAAAGCCCTTGTAATCGTGTTGATGTTCGTCATTGAAGTTTTCAAAAGCACCAAAGTCCTCCACTCGTGAAATAGGTTAATTAAACCATGTAAATCATTGTATTTCCCATACTATCAATCTTTATATGGCTCTCTCATTATGTACTTTATTGACTATTTTTCCACAGAAATCAAATACATCGTTTGTTTCAACTCATAATTAGAAGAGATTGCATGAAAGTGAACCCCTGAATTGAATTCATAATGGTATAATTGGTTGATCGTTGTCACACATAGCCACATAGGGCTGTGCACCGGTCCAGGACCGGAACCCGAAATCGAATTTTTTTGGAGACCGGACCGTAATCAACCGGTCCGAGTTTTGGTTTAGACCTGTTTATTCTGGTCCGGTTTTGAATCAGAATGGACCGGTTACATAATTTTTTTTTATTTTTCTTTTTCATTTTAGTATCTTAATATATACATACATTTTTAACGTTTTGTTTTGTTTGCGTGCTTTCCTATTTTGCACCTAGAATTTATAAATTACAAGTTTTGTACCTAAAGTTTTTAGAAATTTAAACATAAAATTTAAAATTTTCACCCAAAAAATTACAAAATACACTTTCCGGTCCATTTCGGCCCAGACCGGAAACCCGGAATCCCCAATTTGTGAGGACCGAAGACCAGACCGGAATCAACCGGTCCGGTCCAATTCCGGTCCGATCGCGGTCGGTTTTCCGGTCCAGTTCCATTTATGCACACTCCTAGTCACACATGCATACATTGGTTTTTCCCATTTATTAAAAGTGCAAATTGGTATTCCATTTTGCTCATTTTTAACGCATAACTAAATCGGCTTCACTCTATTTCCTATTACTTGAAAAATTTAGTACAAGCTTTGAGCCCACAACCTTAAGTTTACAATCTAAAGCGTTAGCCACTAAGCTATCACCATATTACATTTCATTCAACCAAAATCAATCATCAATAAGCTTATACTAAAGGCGAAACCAGGAATGACACTTGTCATTTCTTGGTTAAAAATTTTCCCGCCTTTTTTTTCCCTTTCCTTTTTAATTTTTTTTGCCATATTTTAATGACATCTATATATTTTATGATCTATAATAATAGTCATTTCCATTTTGACAACATATTTAATCCAATATTACTCAATTCAAATTTTTACATATATTCTGTATATACTAGGAAACTTTTAATTACAAAAATACTACGGAGTAACATAGATTAAAAAAAATAATAAGGTATTGGAATCTATTGTTTTCCAAGATTATTATAATATTATCAATATCAATTTTAAAGAAAAATCATTTTGGTAGCATACTTTGTACGGAGTATTAATTTTAAAACAATGCATAACGTTTATAAGAACAAAATAATAACTTTGTTATAGTATACTTCGTATGTAACATATATTGTAAAATTAAATCTAATTGTTCTAAACATTTATGTGATTATTTTAGTTTATTTTAAAAAAAACCTACTACTCACTAAAAATATATTTAAAAAGTTGATTACGGAATACTAATTATCCTAAAGTAAAATGAACTCAAATTAATTTTCATATTATGCTGATCAAAGTGTGTCAAAAATTTAAGGACAAATGTATATGAGTTCGTATATGGGTACTTACCTAATTACCTAAGCTAATAATTTAATTTTCTTATATAAAACCTTATATCTTCTAAGTTTCTATTACTATATATATATATATATATATATATATATATATATATATATATATTATACAATTCAATTCAATAATCTGTACATTTAATTTAAGTTATTTTGTTACAAATAATTTTTTTGGATAAATTATTGTTGAATTAACACCATATTTATTATTTATTTATTGTAAAATTTAATTATGACCGTGCATGGCACGGGATTTAACCTAGTTAAATATAAATAATGATTTCAATGATAAAATAATGTAGTAACTCGGGGCATTACCTAAAAACCTAGTTTATATCTATATCTATCGATACTTCTATACTTAGCATTTATAAACATAAACCTCAAATTTTTCATATGACACATCGCATCACAAGTCACTCATTGCCACATCTCACCTCCCTTAATATTTATGTTTAATCCTTTATGCATACTAGAACTTGCAAATTCAAGTAAAAAAAAATGAAGTGTTTCATTTCCACCAAAATAAAATAAAGTTCAATTAATTAGTACACATTACATAAACATATGAATTATAGTAAAAATTGTCTTTTCATCTCCTACACTTTAAATATAATTTAAACTTATATGTCATTTCATATCCCATAATCTTCATGTATATATATCTACCTAAGGGTCTGTTCTCTTCAGTTTAATTTCAGTTCAGCTCTAATTAGTTCAGTTTAGTTTCTAATATCCTTCTCTCATAAACAATTCATTTCAACTCTATTCAATTCAGTTCAGTTTAGTTCCTAATATCATTTTCTCATATAGAATTCATTTCAAATCTATTAAGTTCAGTTCAGCTCGGTTCAGTAAATTGGAACAGACCCTAAATTCCTTCACCTTCTTTCACAGTTCTAGTCTCACTCTTTTTTCTTTTAAGTTTTAGAAATTAACAATTACTTCATAAAAAAAAAATACCTACATCTAAAATAATTAACCTAACTAACAACCAGTTCATTAAACTGGTCAAAAAGCTAGTTAGTCTTGAATTAGTGATGCGATTCCGGAATTGATTTTCATCACTCGCGTCAATGACTTTCAAACACCAAAAAGACAATAACACATTAGTCTTTGATTAGTAAATTTTTTTTTAAAAAAAAAAAAAAAAAAAAAAAAAAATAACAACTCCCCAAGAGAGTGTAGCGCGTGCATCCTTTCAACTTGTTTCAGTCTCCCTGAATTCGCTGAAGCAACGCAAAAACCTTGAGCAGATCGCGATTTCTCTTTCTCGTCTCTCATGGTACCAATCTCTCTCCTCATATTCCATTCTTCTTCAAATCTTCATTTTTAATCAATTTTTGATCTGTAATTGTTTCTCTTTTAATGGTGTTTTTCAGGCTCAATCGGCAAAACCCATCACTAGTCCTGTTCCTCCATCGTTGTATCCAACCCTAGCTTTCTTCCTCCTCGTTTTTGGGCTCATTGTCACTGCATCTTTCTTTATGTAAGTCGATCTCTACCTAATGTTTTGAATTTTTATTTTCATTGAGTAATTATTGGTTTATTGGGTTGAATTTTTCTACTTTTTGTTGTGATTTTGTATTTATTTGATGGGTTTTTCTGTGAGATTTTTGTTTTGAATTGGGATTTTCTGTTTAATGTCATATAAAATAGTATTTGTTTATGTGATTGTTGTGATCTGATCTCTGAATTGGGTATTTTGATAATGAAGTTAAACTAAGATTGAATTGTTATAGTAATGCATAGAACTTGTGAATTTGATGATTCCGAACCTGGTGCCTCGTCGTAATTCAATTTTTGTGTTTGTTGATGCCCTTGTTGGGTATGTTGTGGTAGAGTTCAAGTAATGTTTTTGCAATTGAGATTAACTAGTCATTGTTTCATTTAGTATGTGAAAGTGGGAGGTCGAGTTTCCGGCTTTTATGCTTGATGAGTGGAGCTGAACTTTTGCAAATTGAGGATGCAAATGAAACCCTAGTATTACTGTCGCGAAATGGGGGGAGATGGGGTAAGGGAATTTTGAAGGGCTTACAGGCTATTCATCATTATTTATTAATACTAATACATCAACACCTCATAAAATTAGTGAATTGCTAAACCACGTCCGGTATTTACCGGGTAACGCCCGTATTTTAACATGACTTTACAAACATCTCCCCATATAAAATTGACCCTATTCCACTTTCACTTTCTTTAACCACTCTCTAACTTGTTACCCCACCAACCACCAAACAACCATCACCTACAAACAACCACCATGCCATATTTTTTTTTTAAATATTTGTTTTACACCAATTAGCACAAACGGTGAATGAACGAGTTTAAGGAAGCAATGACGCCACTAGAAAGATCGTCGGAGCATAGGGAGTCGGTAAGTGCTATGAAATTTTTTTTATTATTATTTTTATTTTTTTCGTAATCATAGAAGGAACACCTGAAATTTTAGAATCACCCTTGGAACATTCTAACATCTTAAGCGTTCAAGGGGGGAAACACCTGAAATTTTAGAATGTTATAGGGGGAAACGCCTGAAATTTTAGAATGTTCGAGGGGAGATTCTAAAATTTCAAGTGTTCCTTCCATGGAACATTATAAAATTTCAGGCGTTCGTCTGGAACGACTGAAATAAAAAAAAAAAAAAAAAAAATTAAAAACAAATACCTGACGCCAACCCCCTTACCTTTTCGATTGATATCGTCCCTTGTAGCCGGTCGCAATCCTTGGTGGCGACGAAATTATGGTGGCTTTGTTTGGTGGTGACGGAATTGTGGTGGTTTGCATTGCTTGGTGGTGGTGATTTGATTGGTGGTGTTTGTGAATGAAATTTTTAAGGTGAAGAGAGAGAAAAGTAAAAGTGAAAATGAGAGAGAGAAAATTGAAGAGTTATTTAAGAAAGGGTTACTTAAGGGAGTTCATATAAAAATACGGGCGTTACCCGGTAAATACCGGACTCTGTTTAGTACCCCCCTAAAATTATGACCTTTTATAAGTTCATCCATTATCTATAGTCTGCCCATTCATGGCGACAACTGGAATCTTTGCATAGGCTAGTGTTTGTTTTCGTTGTTATTTGTCATACAAATGTCTTTTTTTTTTTTTGCCTCAAATCTTTTCACTCACTTTTTCCAAACCTATATTTTATTCACAGTCAGTAGAGTAAAACTTCAGGCTACTCTACAGTGTATGTTGTGGTTTTTGTTTCTTGTAAATATTAACTCTCACTAATTGGTATGCTTCTTCAAAGTCCTCAGCTAAGTTCGCTCTTTTTTGGGTTTAAATTTTAATTGAAAAGTGTTTGGACAAACAAATTGAAAGGGGTGAAAGTCAAAAGATTTGAAGAAGTGAACCTTAGACAAATATATAGAAGAGAAATAGGAAGAACTAAAGAAGTGACCATTAGGTGGAGGGTTTTATTTTTTTCTCTCTCCCATTTGATTTCCTACACCTGAAGGTCTCTATTCCTTTTAGGGGTTATTCGGTTCCCATAGTGGTATGGGGTTGGAATAAGGAATGAAACCATGATGGTATAGGTTTGGAACCTAATTCTTATTATCAAGTGTTTGGTTTAGTTCAGAAATGTTTTTTTTTTTTTATTTTATTTCATTTGATACTTGAATTATTGGTATAAGCCAAATCCACCTCCCCCTTTAGGTTTGTAAACCCCATTCATGGTATGGGTTTAAATCACTCTAAACCTATACCTCTTACCTGTATTTTGTGAACCAAACACCCCCTTATTGTTATCTAAATGACATATGAGGGATTGAGGGTATTAAAACATGTTAGGGATAGCATTTCTTAGTCTTATTCTGAAATCAGAAGATGTTGTATTGGTCGGTGGTCCCTGAGATAAGATTAATGCCTACTTGCCTAGTGTATATGTGTATGAGTCATGAATGTAATAGTGTGAATCTTCAATAAGACCTAGATCTTACACAGGTTTCTTTTGCTCCTGTGAAAGCCAGTCAACTGTAGATGAATATGCAGGGATTTTTATTAAGGTTCCAGAAAACTTTGAGGATGGTAGTTAGGAGTTAGGATTATCTTTTGGAAGACTTGAAGTCTCTAGGTTTTGAAAGTTATCCCACCTCAAATCTTACCAGAAAATTAGGAACTAAAGAAGAGTAAGTAAACGCCGAATTTAAGTATGACAAACTGTACAGAGAGTGCAATATACAATTGTTTTATTCTATTTCTTCCATCTCCTCATGATTTTTATGATGGTGCCTGGATTTTACTTTGTTAAGTATACTGACATTATTATTTTATTTTTTTATTTACTTATTTATTTTTTATTTTTTATTTTTTTAATTTTATAAAAGTAGTTGCCTTATTTTAAGGATGCGAATTTTGTGGGTATTATGACATTTCTTAAATTGGTTGTATGGAATGATAATAAATGACAATGTTGAGATGTACCAAAAATGAAGCAATTGTAGTATAGCATGATCAAATCAAAGGCATGTTTGGCAGTACAGTTTGTTCCAACTTCCAAGTATCAGTCTTTGATATAGTAGTGGTGATCAGTTTGAGCACTAATGTTGTAGTTAAAGAGAGGATTCTGCATGATGTATGATTAGTATTTAGGGTATGATTGTGTCAAGCTATGTTTTTAGATTTTTTTAGATCAAATTTTCTCGTGTAAATATTTTTTGAAACCTGGTTGTGTTGAATAGTTGTAACATCTAATTGGCTCAAGTGCTCAACATCTTACTGCTAACATTTATTGGTGATGAGCTATAGCTAATTAGCTAAACAATGGTGTGGTTTTCCAAACTGGCTGGAAGTGTTTGAAATGTAAGGAGTTCTTATCTTTCAATTTGGAAGCAAAGGTGAAAATTGTCTTGGAATCCTGCGTGAATATAGTGTGGAATATGGATTAAATTACGTTTATGTCACATTGACCAATAGAGGTCAGATTGTTAGAAACATTTGTGCAACACTAGTTGTATTAGAGAGTGAAATGCTGATTTGGATTATTTGGTGTTTGGACTTCGGTTTGATTTAAGTATGGATTTTGCTGCATTCATCTTGTGTGGTACTGGTCGATCAATGTTGATTAGCTCTGTCTGGTTATATGGTATCATTGTTAATGTTAATTCCACATATTTACTCTAATCTTTATTTTAGCTATGCGGCTACTTCTGCTAAGAAGAATCGAAGTCTAGCTAAAGAACTCGTCACTGGAGGAGTTGCTTCTGTCTTTTTGGTAAGCAATTATGCATCATCTAGTTTATACTACATACAGTATAATTTAACTTTCCGAAATTGATAGCCCTGTAGTCCCTCTTGAATTGACACAAATCTTTGTTTCTGTTGCAGGGCTTTGGATCTTTATTTTTGCTCCTAGCAAGTGGTGTTTATGTCTGATTTTTAGTGTTAAATCCATCTGTTTGCTATAGAGTATTGAGTAATAGTTAAAGTTGGCCATGTTTTGACAATTTTGCAGTTCACTGTGGCTTATTCATGAACTGTAATTATGGACCGCACCATGGTTTCTTCCATGAATCGGATTGATCAGTAATGCTTTATCATGGGAGGCTATACTTTTTGATATAAGGTTAAATTCTCAAATTCTAGTATGAAGAAAGAAGTTCAATAGTGTTGGCTGAAAGACTATTCAATATTTAATTGGTAGATGAAGTAGGACAAACTTTATGACTTACCACATTAACCACATGATGACATGATATAACATTAGTTATGCGAATCCGTCTCTTTATAATTTGCCAGCAATCTTCATTATTTACACTTTGTTTGGATTGAAGGAAACGGAGGGAAAGGAGGGAAAAAAAGGGTTATGGGAATAAATGAATAATAACGGACATTAAAGCTTGTGCTGACGAAGATGAAACATATTGCCGCCTTCACTATCATGAACGAGATGACAAATTTTGAGGAATCATATATTGGTGCTCGTGATAATGTGTAGGTACTTTTACTCCATGATGAAGGAATGTTGGCATTCCTTGGGATGTCATGGGAAGTATTGATGTGAGATAAGTTAATGTTTTCAGTTATGGGAGATAGATTGGATGATAATTAAAAGCATTCACAGTAAGGAACAATTTTTTTTTTTTTTTTTTTTTTTTTTTGAATTTATCGATCAAACTAGCCGCGAATTATCATTTAAATAATATTCCACAAGAAAAAATGGGATCAATCAAATTCCTCAATTATTAGAACAAAGATAAAAGATAAAAAGATAAAATCATTGGTTAACGCCTTCTCCTAACTTTAAAAATGAAAGTCAAAGTAAGTTTGCAAGAGCTTTAAAAAAAAGTGTTTGTAATTTAAGATTCCGATGGAAAGAGAAAAAAGAAAGAGGGAGAGGAGGGGAAAAGAAAAACACGTTAAGAAAATCGAAAAGGTCTAGTGGAATCAGCTTAATTCTTAAGTTGGAGAATTCGAGGTGTTTGGAAACTAGCTTTTCAGTTGGTTTTTGTCTTCTTCAAATTGGTCAACACAGCTGTTAGGTTATTGGCTTTTTTAACTAGCTAAAAAGCTGGCTTTTAAGCCAAAAGCTAGCTGGCTTTTGACTTATGGATTTTGGCTTGTTGACATAATTAAATTTTGATTAATAATAATTAGTCATAATAAATGATAATTAATAATTAGTAATTATTAATTATTAATTATTAATTACTAATTATTAATTTCGTTGATACATAAATTATCAATTTAAAATATTAGTAATTTATAGTATATTATTATTGATAATTATCAATTTATAACTAATACAATTATTGTTAATTAAAAACCAATAATTAATTAATTTATGAGTCAAAAAAATAATTAATTAATTAAAATTATAATTAGTTATTAAAAAATTATTATCTATAATCAATAACTAATGTTAAAATAATGACTAATGAGTGTTGTGTAGTTTGACAATAGCTAGCACCCAACAAGTCAATTTACCTAACACTACAACTTTAGTCAAACTGACAACTCAAAAGCCAATCAAAATAGCCAGTCAAACCAACTAACTAAAACAACCGACAACCAATAGCCAACAGCAAATTGCCAAACAGGGCCATAGAGTAAATATAGCGATAATTAGAGTTGTGTTGGACTTAGACAAGCTAAAGATACTTTAGAGGTGTTAAATTAGGTTAAGTTCAATTGATCTAGTCATATCAAGTTTAACTTGGATATGAGTCATGCGATAATAATGAGTTTACATATCGTAAAAGTCAATATTTAATTCAAGTGACTTTCAAATTAAATCGAAATTAGTTAAAATTTTTAATTCGATCTCGCTAACGAGCGCCCCGGGGCGTTAGATAAGGATAAATTATATTGGTTGAAATGGTATTAAGTTAGGAATTTATGACAAAATCACGCATCGTTCGGTGTAATTTTACTCTAATATTTACACTTTTATTCTCTTATCTAACGCCATGGGGACGCTCATTAATTTTTGCCTTATTTAAATTCTAATCAGGTCGGGTTAGGCTCGAATAAGCGGATCATAAACTAAAGTCACAAATTCACAATCATCTCTCTCTACAATTCCAGACACAGACACAAAATAAATAGGGTCCCCATACTCCCAACTCCCAAGTCCGTAATTTTATAGTGTGTATTACAAGTGCAAAGCAGCTCACTTCAACTGTAGACAACAAGAAGAAGAAGCAGAATTAGAGAAAGTTAGAGAAGAAGAAAATGAGAGGAAAACATCAACAATCAGCAGTTGATGAGAAGTACGCTCAATGGAAATCTCTCGTCCCTGTTCTCTACGACTGGCTCGCTAATCACAACCTCGTCTGGCCTTCTCTCTCTTGCCGGTATTCTACTTTTTTTAGGGTTTCATATTTTCTCATTTTCCTGTTTCGCTCTAAATTCTGGAAATGTTGAATTCTTCATGCCCTAATTTGGCGTATTTTGTGGTTTAGGTATTGTATTTTGACGAATTTGTTGCATTTTTTTTAGTTGTTGATTGTTTTTGTTCGTCTTCTTTTGTTGTAATGATGAATTTTTGTGTCCAAAATGGTTGACTTAGTTCATAATTGACTTCATTTGCTGGAAAATTAAATATATCAGTCTAGGTTCTGTTGAGAAATTAATAATTTTGTTTGTTTGTTTCAAAGTTGATACTTTTGATTGTTGTTGCGGATTTTCGGTAGTGTTGATATCGTGCCGAACTGAACCTTAAACGTCACAGTTGTGTTTCAAAGTTGAAATTTTTTTGTAGTGTTGATGACTTGATGTTGTGATGAAGAATGAAATGAACGTAAATTGTCCGCCTTTGAAATTATTTGGCAGTATGAGTGTTATGGAACTACCTTATTTTCTGATTTTGTAGTACATTTGTGCAATTTTAGAGGTTTAATGATAAGTAGTATTCCTGCATTTTAAGGTGTTATAATTGGCATTTTGAAGTTTGAACTTCTGAAGTATGATGTTAATTTCAGAGTTAAAATAAAAATAATAAGCAGGTCTAATTGTGAGGAGTTAAACACGACAAACTCACTTCAAATGGGCGCAACTTAATTATCTGTCATCCTTATAATTCACTTCAAAAAAACCTGTACTTTTAGTGTGGCTTGAGTAATTGTGTTCATGGCCTTGTGCAGGTGGGGCCCGCAGCTCGAGCAAGCTACTTACAAGAACCGGCAGCGTCTCTATCTCTCTGAACAGGCATTTTCTGCCTTTCCTCCTATCTCTCTCCTTTTAATCTTAATAGTGGTTAATTTCATAGTACATTATGAATTTATAGTAAAAAATAAATAATAAAAAAAAAAATTGCCTTAAATTTCGTGCTTATATGTTTTCATCTTATTTTTTCCGTGTTGCAATTCTTGTAGAATTTCTTTTCAAGTTCTAACTGACATGATTGAGAGACCTCCCCTAATACTTTGTTTCTCAACAAGTATGGAGACGTCTATTGTTATAATGGATGCAAGAAAGATTAAAGAAATCAACAAACAAGAACACAAATCTTATTTCGTTCACTAATGATGAGTTAGCTATGTTCACGGAGAGGTGAGAGGAGAGTTTTATTGATCTTGAGGAAAGTACAATTTATATAATATTTCCTAGGGTTAAATTGTTAAACCCTTAAGGTGTTTATATAGTACTCCTAAAATGGATTAGGCTGAATGTAGGCTCAAAAACAAAAAACCATAGCCTACACAACAAATAGAGAGTCATTTGAAGGGGGCTAACTGATTTAAGGCATATTCAAACCTCTATGATGGACAGTATATCAACTTTCAATTGTAATGGATTACATATAACATGTCACTAAATAATTATTATACCTTATGTAGTTATGTTTTATTTGTTGTGAAATTGTAGTTCAGTTAGGTGACTTTCAGATTACAGGTCTGATGTAAGAAAACCATCTTTGCTTGTTTGGTGGGGTTGCTTGAATTGCTATAGGTAAAAGCCTCATTAGAGGTGTTGGCTATGGCATGACATGGACCAAGCAATGGCATCGTTAACGATTAGATTTCTGTTTTTTCTGCTACTTGATTGTTCATCTCCAATGCTCCATTAAATTATTTATATTTGAAATTTTCTTTTGCATGAACTCAGCCAATGTTTGTTCAGAAAGTTGCATTCACATATGATTGAAATTTAAATCTTTCTTTGCTCTTTTATAAAATGGTCCTTTTTAATTATGATGGTTTTTCTCTTTGTAATTGTTCAGACCGATGGCAGTGTGCCAAATACACTGGTGATAGCTAACTGTGAAATTGTAAAGCCAAGAGTTGCTGCTGCAGAGCATATCTCACAGGTGATCTTATTATCTTATGTAGTTCCCTGCTCTCCAAATTAAGTGTTTGCTTGACCAACTTTTCTTACTCCTATTTCATTTTACCTGTCACTTATAGGTGGTTGTTAGTTTTGTATATATATATAATAACTAATATTTCGTGAGTCTACTTACGAGACAGTTTTTTCGTAATTGAGTTCAAAACTATTTATTTTATTTTCATTATTGGTGTGCTTTTCATCTCGAAAGTGGCAAGATATGATTGAAGGATGTAGAATTTGCTTAATATTCCTTTTATCCCAATTTCTAAGTACACTTTGTAATCTGTGATTGTGAGTCACTTCTGTATTGGACACTGGAACAAGGGCACAAGGCGTTCCAGTTATATATATATATATATATATATATATATATATATATATATATATATATATATATATATATATATATATATATATATATATTTCTTGAGTAGATGAAGCATACATATAAATGTTGTTAACAAAAAATATCACCCCATCCCATCCTGATTCATAATAATTGAAATGCCTTATTTTGTTGATTTCCTGTTCAGTTTTTCCATTTGATGATTGTAATATGTTAATTTCTTTTTGGTGTAGTTTAATGAAGAAGCTCGCTCTCCATTTGTGAAGAAGTACAAGACCATTATACATCCTGGAGAGGTGAGGAAAAATTGTTTATGAATTCTAGAGCTCTGGTTGTACAAGTGTACAGTATTAAACTCGCTCGTATATGCGTATTTGTATTGAATTATGTTCATATTTCATGCTAGAGCCTTTGCTTGGATTTATATTTTATATTATTTGTGATTTTGTGTCTGTGACTGATGGCTACTTTTCAAATGTCCTTTGTTTGTTTGTAACTTGTAAAATTATGAATAACACTATTCAAGCCTGGTGCCCTGGATAGGCTGTTTTTAGAGAGTATTCAAAAAGATGACAATTTAAGTGGAAACATAAAAAGTTGACATACATTATAGCTTATCTTCAAATGTAATCAACTTAGACATTTGAGAGTGTGTGCCTTTTCTTGAGTTGGTTTTACTCTTTATAAGTGGCTTGACATCTTATGAAAGAACTTACTCATTAGTGTTAATTTTAGCGCATGATTTCCTTTCTGATGAGAACTTGAGCAATCATCCAATGTGTTTTAACAGGTGAACAGAATCAGGGAACTTCCTCAGCATAATCATATTGTTGCCACCCATACAGATAGTCCTGATGTAAGCTTTCTCTAGACATACAGTAAACAATTATTATCTAAATGTTATTATTATCCCTTGTTCTATTTTCATGTATTTTCTGTACAAAAGAAGTTTATATATGATTGTATTTTAGGTTTTGATTTGGGATGTTGAGACTCAACCCAATCGCCATGCTGTGCTAGGAGCAACTCCTTCTCGTCCAGATTTGGTATGATTTTTATTTTTATTTTTTTCTTGTTCATTTCTCGGTATAATATATTTAGGGTTATTCATTGTGCTTTAATTTCAAGGAACATGCAAGTATAATATGTCATGCTCTCTTGCAGGTGTTGACAGGACATAAAGAAAATGCCGAGTTTGCTCTTGCAATGTGTCCAAAGGAACCTTATGTGCTCTCTGGAGGTGGGGAGGCTGTATTATTAGTACTTCTAGTTTTGACTTCATCTTGATGCTCGTGTGATATATTTCTTTTTTTTGAGATCACATTGATGTTAATATGCTATCATGTTTTCTCATAGATTTGATATCATCTTGGAATGTCTGACTTCATGGATTCTTGAGGTTGCTATTGGCTGGGTATTCTATTCAATGCCCAATCATATCGTCTTATATTGTAGTAGTTTTTTTTTTCTTTTTCTTTTTCTTTTTTTTTTTTTGGGGGGGGGGAGGTGGTGGAGGGAGGAACAGGGTAGGATCTGGGAACAGTGTTTGTTCATTCACTAGGTGCGAATATTCATAATTCATAATATTACAAGCACAAAGAAAATCTGCCAATCCAAAAAAATTGCGCCCGCAGATAACTAGTCTACGCAAGCACATATCCTCGCCGTACTGTCTTCTGTTGCATCCATGTGAAAACTAACAAGCGATTCAATTATTTGTAAATCCAGCATTGCTCTGTGGAATTTTGGGGTGGTTTTGGTTCAAAGTGGGTTGAAAAATCAAGTCCGGCTTATCCAAATTATAGTTATGGTAATATATGTTGGATCATATTCTATTTGTACATAAAGTGTTCCTAGATGGTCTTCACTCAAAATTAGGAAGTAATTTTTGAATATGAATGAATGAAATGCAAGAAGTTGGAAAGAGGGAAAAAGGTAAGAAGTAGTATACATGAGATTGGGAAAAAACTGACGCGATAGAGAGTAAAGTGAAATAGTGCTTAATAATTGTTTTTTCTTAAATGGGAAGAGGAGCTTATGTAAGAATGTACCAAAGTAGTAATCAGGTGGTTTTTTATTTTATTTATTTTTATTTTTTTATTTTAAGAACAGAGAGTCATTAATCTGATTGTAAAACATATTATGATCCTGTAGATATTTTGAATTTACTTCCCTAGTGGTCAGTAGTAATACTCCTTGGGATATTACTCTCTCTTAAGGAGATTTTTGTTTGATTCATTCCTTTTTTCTGAGAGCTGTGTTTAGGGAAATGTAGCATACCACATTACCACTAGGGAAGTGATTTTCTTAAGTGGGTTGTTTTCTCTTGAATTGTATCAATTTAACCTGACCACACTGTTTTACCCTAGCACTACATCAAGGAGGTGGGATACCTATTAATGAGATTTATAGGCCTGTTATATGGTGTGCCATTGACATCATAATGTTTTTCTGAGAGGGGTGCCTTTAGGCTTCATGGATGAGATTCCAGTGTTGAATGTACGATGATGGGGTATTACTGCCTTATTGGGACTCAACTGATATAAGGAAATTCTGTGGTTTGTTTATTAATGTGATTGTGTGTGTTGTTTTTGCCATCATTACTGTTGCCTTCAACTTTATATAATTTTCTATAAGTCAGATGGAAATCTATATAGGTAGATGCCGATCATTGGCTGTACATAATACCATTTTTTTAGCAGGTCTGTGAAAGATTCATATTCTTCTCATAGGACAAGCTTTCTTCCTGCTTTAAATATCTTATCTATGTAACTCCTCTTATATACTCCCATAAAAAGCATGTACAAAGATAGATAATTTTTATTAGCAATAACAGCAGGATGCTTGAAAATGGAGCTCCATAAATTGTACTTGCATCACTTGCTTTTAGTATGCTTGAATTATATTTGCAAAATTTGTCACACATAGCTATAATTTTGCAGGGAAAGACAAGTCCGTAGTTTTGTGGAGCATTCAGGACCACATAACAACAACAGCCTCAGACCCTTCAACCAACAAGCCTCAAGGATCGGGGGCGACAATAGTGAAACAAAATGGTGAAAGCCCTTCTGTTGGACCTCGGGGTATCTTTCAAGGCCATGAAGATACTGTGGAAGATGTGCAGTTTTGTCCAAAAAGGTGATTTTCCAATTTAATGTTATTAGTAAAGTGAAAATTTGACTCTTGAGTTTTGCAGTGTTGTCATTTGGTTTTGACTCTATTGCAATTATCTTGAAGCTCTCAGGAGTTCTGTAGTGTTGGAGATGACTCTTGCCTTATACTGTGGGATGCTCGGACTGGGTCTGATCCAGCCATTAAGGTAGAGTTGTCATTATTTTTTGTGTTTTTAGCAGGACTTGATTATTTTATCATAGTTACAAACATGCAAACATGCACATGTGCTCATACATAATATCATATACTATGTATAGTAGCAGATTTCAAAATGTATCTTTACTTTTGAGCTACAAACATGAATGGCAAATGCTATTTTAATTTGGTTTAATTGATGAAATTTCCATTTGAACTCAGCAGTAAGAATTTTATATAAATTTATCTAATACTATTGTAAATTCCCTTAATTGATGCTATTGTGATAGTGATTTTCAAGGGATTTTCTACCCTTTCAACTAAATAGACTATATGTTTGTTTCAAGTCGTAAACTTATCTTTTAAATTTCGTTATTATTATATGTAATTAACTCTGATTCTATTTGTTACATGACTTGGTGCTTTGGTCCTAAATTTGACAGGTTGAGAAGGCTCATAATGCCGATCTTCACTGTGTTGACTGGAATCCTTTTGATGAAAATTACATCCTCACAGGGTATGCTCTGTATCACTGATTTTTCCATTCATGCTGTACTTCCTCTGTTTCACTAAATTGTAACACTTCTCATTTCACGCTTGACATTGCATTATTTCAATCTCTAATATTTTTATTTATCAATAAGTGTATATTATAAATTTTGTTTGAAAGTATAAATTGAGGTGAATCTAATAAGGTCCCACATGTCTATTTTTCCATAACCATAAATCATAAAAGTTGGTCAGAGTAGAGTATGTGAATATTGCACAAGTCAAAGTGTTGCAATTTTAGTGAAACAGAGGAAGTATTAGGTTGCTTCATTTATGCATGAGATATGATCATCTATTGTATATCCATATGAGAAGAAGGATAGGCGTATAGTTTGATCCCTTCGGAGGTCAGTCTGGGAGGTCAAAATATGCACAGCCTTACCCTTTCTAGGTAACAGTAATAACACTTATAGTTATATTTTTGTAGGAGTTGACATGGCTTCTGTGTTATTTTCTTCAGATCTGCTGATAGCTCTGTTCGTATGTTTGACCGGCGTAATCTTACTTCTGACGGAGTAGGATCACCTGTTCACAAATTTGAGGGCCACAAAGCTGCTGTTCTTTGTGTCCAGGTTCTAAAAGTTTTTCACATAATGATTGTAACCACATTCTATAATCCTGCAAATTCTGTTCTCAACACATCCTTAATTTCAGTGGTCTCCTGACAATCCAACTGTCTTTGGAAGTGCTGCAGAGGATGGTGTTCTCAACATTTGGGACTATGAGAAGGTAAAGAAAATCAGCAGTTGCTCTTGTAATGTTTTTTAGAGACCTGTGGATAAAACAACTATAGGCAGAGGGTTTCAGGAGATGGGAATTAGTTTAGTTGCTTGGACTTATTGTTTAACTTTTGTGCCGAAAGTTACAGTAAAAAGAATCTGCCAGTGTTCTAGCTTTTGATTTCATATTCTAGTGCCTATTGTATTTGTCAATTGCTGAATGCTCTCTTGCCCCTTTCCTTCTTTTAATACATATGAACATCTGCTAATATCTGTCTGAAGATTATTTGAAATTGACTTTTGAATACATATCAACCGTGGCAAGGACATCATCTATTTAAGTCATAGATTTAGTGTAAGCATATGGGTTGTATTGTTTCTTGGGCATAAGCTCAGATAAGTTCTACAAATAATAAGTTTGGACACACTCACAAATGAGTTCCGCCACAGTGGAAATAACTTAAAATTATCTAATAAAGTTTAGACAAATGAGTCAGATATAACTCAGATAAGTTCAAATAATACGAGTTAAAGTTCCAAGCTAAAACAGATTCAGACTAGATAATTTGAGACTAAATAAGCCAGATAGAACTAAGTCTTAAGATTTCTGTGCTTTGCTGATATTATAATTTCTTGGCATGTGTTATTAAAGGGTTATCCGATCGTGAATTTGTGACATAGTTAATGATTTTACAATATAAACTTAGATATTTCAAGCATTTCATCTTAATATATCCTGGTGCTTTTTTTTTTTTTTTTTTATCCGCATTTTTGTACCACCTGTACAACTTCTTTGATATACCCTTTGCTATTTTTTCCAGGTTGGTAAAAAGAAAGAGCGTGGGGTAAGAACACCAAATGCTCCTCCAGGTCTCTTTTTTCAGCATGCTGGACACAGGTTTGGTTTTTCTTAATATGTTTCTACATGATATATTCATTTCTTTTGTGTTTATAGGATATTTTAAGGACTCAGAAATTTTTCGTTCATCATATCTTTCTACATGTTTCATTAAATTATTTTCTCTACAAATACTTTTGTGTTGTCATATTGTAGAATAATTGACATCAAGTGATTCAAGTCTATAAAAAAATTTAACAGTTCATGGTTCTGTCTTATGCTAGTGTAAAAACGTTTTTGATGCAAATTTGATATTAGCCATTGTTTTCAAAAGTATTTTGTATGTTTTCTGACTGCTTTGTTTTTTCTAATAGATGAGGTCTTGAAGCCTTACAACTGAACAAGTTTGCTTTTCTGAATTATATACAGGGATAAGGTAGTTGATTTTCATTGGAATACCTATGATGCTTGGACTATTGTGAGTGTTTCTGATGACTGTGATTCTAGTGGCGGTGGTGGAACTCTACAGGTACCAATCATCTCTGATTGCTACATATGCACTAGATGTCCTGACTCGTGAATAGTGACTATCATGACCTTAATCATGATATTAGCTCATTCAAAGAGAAAGAAATGTGTTTTAGTTTCATTTAGGTTGAAGTGTTTGTTTTGACGTTGCCGCATCAGCCTAAATTTAAATTAATTCTCCGCTTTGCTGCTAGACCTAAATTAATACTGAAGCTACTGACAAGCCCTTTTTTACATTAGTACTTTGGCTTTGTTCAGTCAAAGCCTTAATATAAAGAAGCCAGTAAGTCCTTTGATTTGAACTGACAAAAATCTACAATTAATTTGAGGCTGTATCAGTCTTCTGATAATCTGATTACCTCATCATTCAACTAACATAACTTTGTTAACTATAAACAGAAACACTGATGTCTTCTTACATGTATTTTACTGCAGATATGGCGTATGAGTGATCTAATTTACCGACCAGAAGAAGAGGTTTTAGTTGAGCTTGAAGAATTCAAGTCACATGTTGTTACATGTGGTTCTAAATCATGAGGTGAAATAAGCAGTGGTAGAGTACATGGTCTTCCAGGTCCCATGAATGTGTAGAGTAGACAATGGCTGATGAGAGCTGAAATCTATTTTAGTTATGTAGCATGCTGATGCAGGAAAGTTAAGGAATGGGACTTAGTATTTATGGAATTTAAGGGTTATGTTTTACTTTGAGGGTGTTTGGGGGTGGTGGGGATCTTTTACCTTGGTTGTGGAGTGTTATTTGTAATATAAACTTGTGAATCTGTGTACTACTAGATTGAAGTATGATAGTATGTAACTAGATTAGGCTGAACAGCACTACATCAGACAGCAGCTTATTATGCTTGATTTCTAGGATACAGATATTGCTCTAGCTAAATTCCACCTTTGCAATATCTATATCTAAGGCTAGAATTATGGTACTCCAGTGTTCCTAGAATTAGGTGCACCCAAACGGCCAAAGACAGGTAAAGGAGTTGATATAGTTGGGAACTTGGGACTCTCTGTTTGGGAGTCGAGCAATCCTTTGTATGACATCGACTTACTTTGCAATTACGTATAAAACTCAACCCCTTTTGCTACCATAAAACTCGACACAATTCTTGTCACAATCTAATTACCATCTTTGATACTTGTCTCCTTCCCTCTTGTCCATGTTTTCTCCTCTTTTGTAAGTATTACAACATAACCTATCAGGCTATCACCATCGCTATTGGGCACCCTTTTAGAAACAAAAAAAGAAATGAAATCAAACCTATGTAGCCTATAACTGACTAGTAGTGAAAGCCCTAAAGATTTCAATCTTGTGTGCCCTTTTTTGGCATGGAGAACATTTTTAATTCAAGCTCAAAACTTTATTCTACGTAAAATTGAAATATTGTAGCATGCCAATTATATTCTTTTTTGTTACTAAATTGTTTAATTACACAGTGAAATATCTTGTACACAAATTAGCCTAATGAAAATCAGATTATCCTTTAAGAATAATATCAGGCTTTTTAGCTACAAGGTCCTAAATCCTAATACATACTTCGTACAAACTAAGGACAAATTGTGAAGGTTTTATGAAGCCAAAAAAAAAAAAACTTTTTCAAACAAGTTTATCAATCAACTATCCCACCTCCCAATTACTATGATCGATGATAAATTAGGTAAAACCTTGGTTAGAAGGATACCTAATTCATAACATCTCATTGTTCTTAATAAAACAAAACATAACTACATGCCACAAACAACAAACCTTAGTTTATAGTACAAGTAACTAGATAGTTTTTGGAACCTCGGCTTGGAAAGTCAAAGTGGTTTGACCATTCAAAATTTGAGGTTCATTGTCATCGATCTGAAGAGGTTCAAGAGAGTCTACTATATCGCGCATAAGTGGTCTAGCCTTGGGGTTGCGATTCAAGCAATGATAGGCTAACATAGCTGCCTTTTGTGCTCCTTTTACAGGATAATCTCCTCCAAGTCTAGGATCTATGATGTTAAGTAGTTTTTTCTTCTCTTTAAGTAATGGAATAGCCCAATCTGTAAGGTTTTGCTCTCTTGCTGGTCGCGACTTGTCTAATGACTTCCTTCCGGTGAGAAGCTCAAGTAAGACTACACCGTAGCTGTAAACATCACTCCTAGGAGTTAAATGACCTGCAATTACACATCCACCGGTAACTTGCTTAATAACACTGTAATAGACTAATAATAACCTATACTCCCTCTGTTCAGAATTAATAGTCATATATCGACAGTTTACCTGTCATGATATATTCCGGAGCTGCATATCCATATGTTCCCATTATACGAGTGGAGACATGAGACTTGTCGCCAACTGGCCCATCTTTAGCAAGGCCAAAATCCGAGAGTTTTGCATTGTAATCCTATAATGTCGAATGTTCCCATATATATATATGAATGTTGAACGGAGTAAATAAGGGTGTGAAATTAAGCACATTTGCATGGTAAAGATAGAAAACATAGGGTAGTATAATTAAAACATAAGTTTCCCACCTCGTCCAACAAGATGTTAGATGTCTTAAAGTCTCGGTATATGACAGGCTTCTCAGCATCGTGTAAATAAGCGAGTCCTTTTGCAGCACCAAAAGCAATCTTCATTCTGATACCCCAAGATAGGGGAAGCAATACTCCTATAATAAAATTATATGTTACGAGTTAAATGTATACAATGTTGGTAAACTAAGCGAGAGTGATGGATAGCTCAAATGGTTAGAGCTTCTCTCCCAATTCCTGAAAATTTAAGAATTGATTCTCATCACCCGCCCTTATAGCGCTCTAAACATCAAAAAAAAAAAAAAAAATGTTGGTGAACTAAGTAATGGGTTGATATCGACTTGTCTAAATTTTATGTTATTCATTAGGATAGCCCGAGTGAGGGGAATACTTTGTGCATAACTTTATTTACTAGTCTAAATGTTGTTCAAAATATAAAAATTTGTCCTCGTATTAAAAAAAAAAAATATTCTGTAAAAAATTGTAATTTAATTGCATATTTTTATACTACCTCTATATTATTTTACCAAGTACTTTTATAAATATACTCACTACTACCTTATTAGATTCCTCCTTTGCTCCCTACCCAATTTTTTTTTTCCTAAAATATGTGTAATCTAATTTCGTGATCAGTCCGAAATAATAAGCTGAGTATTATAGTGATCAAGTTGCGAATTGGAATATATGTCATCACTCAAAGTAGAACCATTTAAACCTTTCAAAAAAAAAAAAGCAGAACCATTTAAAAAATATACGAAATATTATAAATGTGTATTTAAATTTTATTTTTAATGCACATTTTAATCCTTACAATCGGACTCTACGTACATTGGTAGCAAGTTACATTTATGAAAAAGATAATCCAAGTTTATCAAGAATACATTCAGTCATTCACAATAAGCATATCACAGTTTTATCTATTTTTTAATTACAAATGTTTAATTACACAACATGCATAGTCATAAAATTGCAATCTATAAAAAAATAAAAATAAAAATAAAAAAAGTTTAATCAAGCAAAATACAATTTAGGTTTCAAAAAAAAAAAAAAAAAAAAAAAAACAAGTTACAATTTATGCTTCAATTTTATGCTCATTTGAGTTCAAAGTTTTATTTTTTAATTGCTCATTTTATATACAAATGAGCAAAACTTTCTACTAATTTTCAGTTTCCAAATGATTGTCCAAATGAGCAAAAACTGAACCGTATTGTTGCTTATTTGGGAGTTGGGTGTACCTACTTGACTACCTCTAGGTACACCTAGTTTAATATAGACACTTTAGACACCTAATTTCAAATTACATCTAATTGCAACAAACTCATATTAAATGACTAATTACGAACAACTAATTATACTATATTAAGCTATTAAACAAATTAACATGCATTGTATAATTAAAACTTACTTGAAAACAGATTGTTCTCCACACTGCCTCGTGACATATACTCATATATCAACACACGATGATCCTCTTCACAGCAATATCCAATCAACTTCACTAAATTAGGGTGCGAAAGTTGTCCAAGAAATATTACTTCGGCCTGAAACCCGAAAAGTCAAATTTGACCTATTATTTTAATTTTCTCATACTTTAACTGTAGTCGTGATTCTGGGACATAGGGAGTAATACGACTTACCAGCCATTCTCTGTGACCTTGATAACTATTGTCCCCGTCGTGAACCTTAACAGCAACTTGAATTGGTTGAATGCTATCTCTTAAATCTTTTGAAATGAAACCTTTGAAAACACTTCCAAAACCACCTCCTCCTAACAAATGATCTGGTCTAAAATTTTCAGTGATAATTTTTAGTTCTTGGAAGGTGAAAACTAGGAGTGGATTTGTCACTGAATCCCGGCCACGTAAATCTTCTACTTCCTTAGCATTAGAAGGCAATTTACTCTCATTGACAGCTTCGTTCTGGGTTGATGAATCTGAAAATTTCGTGCACGTTATTACTAGCTCATACGTCGAATAAGTTTGTGTACGAGTATATTGTATATAACAGGACATATTTAGCAAAATTTCATTTGTTGTCCAAAAGCCACCCCAAATCTAACAAAAGTCACTTCAAATCACTTAAAAATTTAACTACGCGTTAAAATAACAATTTTGAAACTTCGAGGTGACAATTGCTTTTATTGGACAAGCACACGTGGGCACAGCCGAGTTGCCGTGCCTCAAGATTATCAGCCCTATCAAACAACATCCCTTATTCCTCCAACTCTCATATTTTCTCATAAGAATCAAACCCTTTTTACCAGAGGCGTGTTGTATACTATACACTCGTACATAAGTTTTCGCGATTATTTTAATAAGAGACTAAAAATGAAGAAAGAAATAAAAGTAATTAGAAATGAAACAAAGAACAGAGAAAGAAAAAAAAAACCTGGTTTGGGATCTGAAGAGACTGTGTAGATTGAATCATGCCCCCATCTAAACCAACAATTACCCATTTTTCTGTAAAAATTTAGCTGTATTTTGGCATCCTCGATCGATTTCGGGTGCTAATCCTCTTGATTAATGTTGCACTTAAGAGCAGTTCTAGATCTTTCAAAAGGGTATTCTTGTTTAGAAAGGAAGGATAAAGAGATATACACAGGGAACTTAGAAGAAGTTGATGTGATCAAGTAAAATTGAGTGCCACTACTATTGACTGGTAAGTGCTTAGATTTGAAAACAACTAAACTATATTGGGTTCACACTCTTAATTGATGGGATATTATTGTTGTTAGTGCCCTTTAGTTTTCATTTCACACACCTCATCATCTTATCTCGGAATTTCCATTATATATATACTCGAGTGTAAAAGAGTGTGATAGTACCTGATATAGATTATGTACTATGTGAATGAACGTTCTAAAAAGTACACCCGTGTGTATAATGGAAATCGGACACATACCCCTCTATCTCCCTTAAGTTATGATGAGTTGAACACTAATTGGATTATTGGGTTTTGCTTTTTTGGTGCTTCTTTTTGTGTTTTCTTTCTTGCCCTTGAAGTGTGCGTGCTTTGTTGTGTCATGTGGGAGTTAGTGCGTTTCTGCGCATTTTCATGGGCTCACCACTCATCATTTTCTGTCCTTCCCCTCAAATATACAAAAACAAAATTAACAAAAAAACAAAAAATACTTTGATTTATTACAATAGCATGATTATAACAACCCAACAAAGCTATATTAGATTTTTAGTTGGCACTTCGTATAAATGAAATTTTATTCATAATTAGTCATTATAAATCATAAACAATAAACTGATATTCCTTAATTTCTGTATATTATTAAATTAAATTACAAAAAAGATGGAGGGATTTTCAATACATTCAATTAAATTTGGTCATGGGATATGTCTCATGTCAGACCGTATACCCAAAGCCCAGCTTATTTTGAATTTTTAAAAGGATAGCCCGAACACAACCTAAGT